GTCCCAGGGAAGAAAACAAAGGGGAGGAAAAGTTCACACTGGCCCTGCAAAGCTTTGAGAAACTGACTTGAATATAAGAAGCTTAAATGAAGCCACCTGTGGGCAGATTCATAGAGCCTTTCCTGAATGTGGATCATTTTTGATGCTGGAATTTCAAGCTAGGAATGAATGTGAGTGGATGTTTGTACTATTCCTCCAGTAGATTATTGCAAAATTCTAGTGAATACCAGAACTACTTAAAACTTTTTAATTATCTGAATTAAACATATGTCTGGAATAACAACTGGCTCACTGAAGGCTTCTCATTTACTTATGTAGTGAACTCTTTGTCTTTAATTCATCAAAATGAAGTACCAATTTATTAATGTTTCCACACTGAAAAATATGTACAGTACTCTTAACCACTTGGCCTCTGGATTGAGGCCTATTAGAATATCTGTGTAATTTGTGTAATTCTTAACCGCTTGCTTATCCATCCGCATCATTGAATATTTTAGTCAGTCCAGCTGGGAACCAAGTAAATTACAACTTCTCCTACAAAATCTGTATTAGTTTATGTCACAAGTAATCAGAATCTTAATACAAAAAGGGTATTATGCTGTTTGAAGCAGCAATGAGCTTTCATGCTGAATGCCAAAGGCTAGTGTTCTTTCTCCTGATGTTTCACCAACAGCTGAGGATGGCATCTTCAGTTATTATTATAATACACATATTGTGGTTTTTCTTTGCACTGTAGAGTTATTATCAAAGCATTCCTCTTCTCCTGACTCAGGGAAGAGGTTTTTTTTTTGCGAAAACAGGTCCCTCTGCAATTTCAGTTATTTACATTGTTCATCTGTATATCTGAGACCTGCTTAAATTAGTAGTTTCGATGGATACTTTTGTATCCTATACTAAGCTGCGTGTAAAATAGGAGAAAAAACATAGACAATTAATATTGCACATCTATATGCAAACTAATGTCATTTTAGAGTTGAAAAATTATACAGGTTTCAGGATGGGGATGGGAGAGACAGTATTGACAGTATAGCATTTCTGCAAATTTCATCACTACCAAAAGACCAGGTTGGGAACAAATCCCCCTGTGTATGGTCACTAAGGGTCCACACTGATCTGATGGCATATAATCATCAATTAGAAGTCTTCATATTGTTCCCCTTCCAGTTCACGTCTGAACTTGGGAGATATCTAGATTTGAACAGCAATCAAGTGAATGTTCAGATCCCTACTGTACCAACATTTGATTACAGTGGAAATACGACCCCTACTGGCAAATAAAAGAATGGCAGAACACTGAAAGGGGCCATGCTTATGTTCACACTTGCCTTTGTGGGGACATCCATTTGTTTCAATCCATCCAACGAAAGGATCTGACCATTTCCCCATACAATTATGTTCCATTATTTAAACCACTCTCAGCACTGAGAAATTTTGTGTGTATGTGTACAATTTACTTAAATCTGCTTTCCTGTAATTTAGGTATTATTCTCTTTGACGCTAGCTGGCATGTAACAAACCAATACTTTCTATGTAGCAATCCCTCTGATAACATAATGTGACAACATGCTGCTTTTCTTCTTCCTCTTCTGCAAGACTTCCTCTCTGACTAGTCCCATTTTATGTGAATCCTCCCTTCAGTTGACCGGAATTGAGCACAGAATTGGAGAACGTGGTCTGTCTAAGTGCAATAATAGAATTACTCCTTTCGGTGATTTGGAGGTGATAGTCCTTCCATGCAACATCAGATAGCAGCCACATCACATCACTCATTCATATTCAGCCTTTAATGTTCACATTGCTTGCTAATGTCTATACAACAGTAAATACTGAACTGCAAATGTCTCTTATACATTATGAACCATTCAAGAATAATATTGGCTTGTTACCAGCTTAGGCAGTCTAAATGAAATCTCTAGATTTCTGGGAAGCAGGAAGACTTACTTCAATTGCCACTAGAATATTTGTAAGCAGCTGAAAATACTGGCTTCCTGGTGATTTTGCTATTTAATCTTCCATATGTGACAAAATGTTCAAGTTTCTTCAGAGGGTTGAATAAATCTCTTCAGTGGGGCTGAAGTTCAAATATATTCAACAGTTCTGAATACTTTGCTTTCCAGTCCAACTACACACTGTAAATCCCAACACAGCCAGTCTCATGATGGTACACTTGACCGTTGCAATTGCATTGTAGTGTACAATATTGGCAAAATATTAGATCATGCTACAGCTTAATGAGATAGTTGACTTTTGTCTTAAAAATATCTTCAGGATGATAAAATTAGTTGCTGGTCTCTTGTACAAATTTATATTTAATCAACCAAAATTGTAAATTAAAGTAAGTAATTATAAGTAAATTGCTTCCTAAAATTAGTTTCTAGTACTGGAAGCATTTTATTTTATTACTAGAGAGCATGGCAAGAACGGGCATTTAGCTCACAAATGGAAAAACACTCTGGACTCAGATGTATCTTCACAACTGCTGCTCATAATTTTTGCCTCCTTGGCTCAGTGGAATATATGAGAAATGAAAGAAACATTTTCATCTATGCAGCGCTCCAGTGTTTCAGAAGACAGTCCCACTTTCCAATTAGAACATCCTTCCTTAGAAAGAAGATTGATAAGAAATAAAAACAGATGTCCACATTGACTCAAAGCAGTTTTGGCAACTAGTCTATGTTTCTGGCTCTTATATATATTTCTGTTCACAAATTCATTGTGTGCAAACATCTTTTAAGTCCAATCAGCTTCCATCTTTCTGAATCCTCTCTTGCGCATCTTACGAATTATTAGCAATAATAAAAGTTCAGTGTAAAATGTATTGTTCTTTTAAAAGATAGGGAAGATGGGAAAGAAGGGACTATCAGAAAAAAAGACCCGAAAAAAGATCTAATTTGGGGAAATAATGTATTAAAGTTTCTCAAAAAAAAAAAAAAAAAGAGGGAACATAGTCCCATAGTCCTTCTAACCCCCGGTGCAGATTTTTTTTCCCAGGTGCTGAGGGGAAAAATGGTTTCATAGAACATTGTATGACAATCTTGCTGTTTCTCCCTCTCTCTTTGCATTTCTGCCAAATTTGGTAAAGAATATCACTAATCCTCTTAAACAGATTGGTAGAAGCCACGAAGCAATGCCACTTCCATTGTGGGAGTCCCCATGTATATAACCTAATATGTATTGTTTATTTAATTGAATACTCATAAGACCTTATCAATAACATAACGTAAATTTATAACAAAACAAAATACAGATAAGTTAGATATGTAAGAATACAGTAATGAAAACATATGTGGAAAACCAGGGAGTCAGAAATAACCTAATATGATATGCATGATAACACTAAGCTAGCCGGAATAGACAACACCCCAGAAGACAAGCTCAGGATCCAAAAAGATCTTGGCAGACTTGAACAATGGGCCCTATCCAACAACATGAAACTTAATGTGGAGAAAAGCAAGGTTTTATATCTAGGCAGGAGAAACCAAAGATACAAGTACAGATTAGACAAAAGCTGGCTCAAAACAATAACTCTGAGAGGGACCTTGGCGTTCTAGTGGACCGTTACTTAAAGAAGAGCTCACAGTGTGCAGCAGCCGCCGCCACCAAAATAGCTAATACAACCCTTGGTTGTATAAACAGAGGCATAGAACCAAAATCACATGATTAGTACCGCTTTATCAATCCTTAGTAACACCTCAGGTGGAATGCTGCATCCAGTTTTGGTCACCACATTACAAAAAAGATGTTGAGATTTTGGATAAAGTTCAAAGAAGAGCAACTAAGATGGTTAAGGGCTGGGAGACAAAAACGTATGACGAATGGTTGCAGGAATTGGATATGGCCAATCTAGAGAAAAGAAGGACTATAGGAGATATGATAGCAGTAGTCTAGTATTTGAGGGCTGCTACAAAGATGAGGGGGTCAACTTATTTTTCAAAGCACCAGAAGGCAAGGCAAGAAGCAATGGATGGACACTGATCAAGGAGAGGAGCAACCTGGAATTGAGAAACTTCCTAACAGTGAGGACACTTAACCAGTGGAACAGCTTGCCTTCAGAAGTTGTAGATGCTTCATCACTGAAGCACACTGGAGGTTTTAAAGAAAAGACTGGAAAGCCACCTGTCTGAAATGGCACTTAGCACTTATATACCACTTCACAGTGCTTTTACAGCACTCTGTAAGGGTTTACAGAGTCAGCATATTACCCACAACAATCTAGGTCCTCGTTTTACTGACCTTGGAAGGATGGAAGGCTGAGTCGTCAATCTTGAACCTGGTGAGATCTGAATTGCCAAATTGCAGGCAGTCAGCAGAAGTAGCCTGCAATACTGCATTCTAATCACTGCACCACCACAGCTCAAATGATATAGGGTCTCCTGCTTGAGCAGGGGTTTGGACTAGAAGACCTCCAAGGTCCCTTCCAGTTCTAGTCTGATTGATTGATTTATATTTTCTAAATGTGAGTCATATTTATATGACTTAGTTATATGCCTAAGTCATATTAATGTGACTTAGCTACAGGCATCATTCTATTAGGAGGGTTCAATCACTTTTTAATTATTTTTAGTATCCACATTAGATGATTAGCATCTTAGATCAAATCCAATTCTACAATGCTAAGTCAAAGATTAGTATTAAAGATTACTACAGATGACTCATTCAAAAGACTTCTGGTAAATTATGGTCATGGGTCTAGGAAATGAAAGAAAAAGTAGAAATTCAGAATATAGATTTACTTATACAATATGATTTATCATATTTGAATAGTGCTAGGACTATTTTCTGATTTCATAGTTTAAAATATGGGCAGGACAGGCCCTATTTATTTTGAATAATAATATTAAACACTCCAGTTTAGTCTCCCTCTTTCCAAAAACATTAAATGTTCTTCCCAGTTTAAAAAAACATTTAAACTGGAGACGCTGCAGAATTTCTTATCTTCTATGTACCATTTATGAGGCGAATATCAATACTGTGCTGTAGTTTCTGTTGTTCTGTAATAGGATGGCACCACTTGGACATTACATTGCATTGCATGAAATTAAGAATTTGGTACAAACTTGTCCTCTTCTGGAATAAACCTAAGAGGAATTCAACTGCCTTTGCTTGTTTTTGATTAATCAGTTAAGTGGTTGGAGAACAATCCCCTATGGTTTTCAGACAACCAACCAGCTTCAAAGTTTAACTTTCAGTTTAACTGAAATCAGGAGCAAAACTTCTGTCTCACTAGATAGAGAAAAGGACAAGATCAAAAAATCTTATTGCTTTTACATTAAATAAGGGATTTTACATCCAAATGTCATCAGCACTCCAAATAATTCAATATGTCATTTAAAAACAAATGAATATCAAAAAGTGTGTCACATCCATGACCAAAATAAATTTTTTTTTTATAGTAATTAGATACTTGATTTTATGTGTTAACTCTGGCGACTCTCTACAATTGGCTGCTTCCATGCCCATGATTTTATTCTGTGAACTAGCTACTGACATTCCCCGCTCCCAAAAAAACCCACCTCACCCTGGTTTTGGAATTCAGCTTAACTTAATCTCAAAGCAAAGCAGTGGTTTAAAATAGAGTAATAGTTTGCCAAGAAGAAATCCTCAATATGATAGAAGAGCTGAAATTTTATTATTGAATTCCAGCTGCTTAAGGCTCCTGAAAGAGACACATATATCTTCATGTTACATAGAAAAATGTCTTTGAAGCATTCACCAAATCAAGCAACGATATGACTTCTAAATGAGTTTCCCTTGGCAAGCTCAAACCTAACCAATCAACATGTAAAGTGAAGCTAGTCAAACTTACATGTGTTGATTGATAAGAGGAATTTAAATTTAAATTTGATTGCAGGGAGGGCTTTAGGGGGGAAGGCAAGGGGCATTGCTGTGCAGTAAAGAAATGCATTTTGGGTAAAGCACTTGTAATTATGCTTTGGAAAACACTGTGCTTCCATATTTGTAGAAAAGTTGCTTGATGAACCTTGCAGCTCTCACTAGTCTCAAGGGAAGGGAAAGGAAAGGAAGAAGTGCTAATTAATATACATGTTTAGGAAAAGGGAAAACTGGAGCCAGCATTTCATCCTTTTACCAATTGCAAGACTGTGAGGGAAAGGAAAACACCTTATAGGGTATGGAACTTCAAGGCATTCACATGACGCCTGAAAAGGCAATGGTGGCCGCACTGTTATGATAGAATTACCTTACGTCTTCATCTGTTAGCTGCAATTGGTGGCTTTCCCAGACCTGTTTTGCCAAGAAAGAGAGTGATGGGTAAAATAATCAAGTCACAAGCCCTGAAAATAAGAGCTACATCCAGCAAACCTGACATGATATCCTTGTTTTATCATCTATCCATGGCTTTCATTTGTACAAACTCTTGAGATTCTCTCTATGGGCCTTTCCTTTTCAATTGGGAACATGTGGCTTTATACATATATTACAAGAGGTATAAATGACATTTTAAAATTCTATTGCTGGGAAAACACTCCACCCACCCCACCCCCCAGCAAAAATGTAAAGCATGGCTAAAATAGAAAACAAAATACAGATGGCAATTAGGTTTCTCAGAGTGAAAAAAGCACTTCAAAGATTTATCCTACCAACTGCTTGTCTGTTACATATACGTCACAAATTATGTATGTAGGACTTGCAACAGATCTTCATATCTTCACATTTGTTTTTGCCAAGTTTTTAAGTAGGTAATTTAGTGATAATTGAACACATCCAGCTTTTAGGTAATTTTCTCAAATATTTCATATTTTACCATCTGTTTCAGGGTTCTACAAGCATGCACTTAGTTTTGGCTGTATTTCAGTTGATATTCTTTAGTAAAGAATATACTAGAGGATGGCAAAATATATAATCCATAATGGAAGATTATGGAAAGTTCAGAAGTAAAATATGAACTTCTATTCATGTTTCTTTATAATTAAGTCATATTCTCTTCTAAAATTTGTTTGTGTCTTATTACAGGTGATGACAATATCTGAATTTGCATTGGATTTTTTAAATCTATATCCCATTAGGTTAATATCTTTTTGCTTTACAGTATCAAGTGCCCTTTAACCATTTATTTCATGTTAGACTGGAAAGTTACCATGATACAGTTGAAACAGTCAAGGCTATTTTCATAACCATAAACTGAAAGGTAAATATTTGGTTCTTTTCCTCTTACTTGTTGCATAAATATGACAACAATCTTTTCAGAATCTGATATTGTCCAATGTCTCCTATTCCATATCAGAAAAAAATGGATTGACTTCTGAGGTTGGATGGAAAGCAGTGGCTATTAATTCGTATTTGGGAGTTTAAAGACATAATTTTAATTTATGAATTCACTAATCTAATTATGGATATAAACTTGCTTTCAAGTTATTAATTGTACCATGTTTTCAAATAACATATTAAATGTATGCCATCCATCTCCCAATGATAGCTATAATATAGATGTCATTATATAATTACATTTCTCCTATCTCAGAGAAAGGAGGAATCTTACTTTTTGCTTTTTCTGGAACTAAAGAGAAAAAAACGAGGAAAAAAAATTTATCTGTTGAGAGATTTAATGACATTTATAGGGGGAATGCAAGATTTACAAATATAAATAAAGTTTTTTTAAAATTTATATATAAGCATTTTGATTATAGTGTATTAAAAATTGCTGAAGCTTTAAATGGGAAGATGAAGACCTAGATACAGAAGTGGAAGAGTCAATACAAGAAATGGAAAGTTAAATGTACCAAGAATTATATTTCTGTACTTTGTCTGCAAGAGGACAAGTGACCAGGGCTTACTACAATTATCTTAACTCCAACTTAAAAATTAATACTGCCAAACTACTGTGTAAGAGAAAATACAAAATTGACCTGCTTGATTAGGAATAAGAGAATAAGTACTGTTATAAATGTTGGACACACATATTTTTGGGATGGAACAAATTTTAATTTGTGCTGCCTTTAATTCCTGATACAAAATATACAGTATATACACAAACACAAACACACACACAAACTCAGAAGAAAAGAATCTCTCAATATTGAAGATAAGCCTGAATGGTCAAGAAATAATGTTTGCACATATTTAGGAACATTTAACTCAGAAAAATAAATACCATGTGTTTAAATGTTTATGCTTAGCAGCAGTGCTTTCTCTTAGAAATATTTTCTTCCATAGCTTAGAGGGCATTGAAGATGAGTAGGTCAATATAGAGCTGTCAAACATCACAACTAACGAAGGCACAAAATGACAAAGACAGAGCATGGAAGAATTCTACCTCCTTTTCCCTTTAAAGATTTACAGGGTGGTAAATGAATTTTGATCCAGAGAAACATTAGGGGGAAAATATTTTTAAACACAGAGTACAAGACCAGCTCATACCAGGTGGTCACTGATATATATCAACTAGTTCTTATAGTATTTTTTCCAGTAAACAATGTAGCAAATTATTACTGTACTAATCTGACCCAATGCTGCTTCTCCTTTAAATTTTAATGCCAATATATAAAGAGGAATAATATGCAGCCTTTAGTTTATTATCAATGCTTGGGCATAACCATAAGTATTAACAAAAAATGGCAACCAGAAAATGCATATTGGCTCGCCTCCCCCTCCCGTTAAAAATCCTTCCCTCTCTGTATCATGGAATTATATTGTGGGGAAAAGAGCACAAATGTAGCCTCTCCCCCTAGTATAGGAGTGTCAAACTCAATTTCATTGAGGGCCGTATTAGGGTTGCGTTTGACCTCAGGGCAGTGGGGAGACAGGCTGGCCTGGCCAGTTCAACATCACTCATGTTGGGGGGCGCCTGTCATGGCCCAAGCGCTCTGCTAGTGAAAATAGCTCAGGAGGGGCACTCCGTTTGCACTGGCAGAGGCACCATGGGCCAGTCCTTCACTGTTTTCAGGGCACCCCCGCGGATCAGATCTAAGCATCCCATGGGCCGCATCATCGGTGCATAATTAAACGCATTCAGCCACTTTTAACAAGCATCTCTGCATTTTGTGTGTGGGGATGTGTATATGTGAGGCTGATTTTATCATCTCCGGACATTCCTGCAGCAAGCTTTAAAAGCTGCTCTTTTTGGCTTCAGACTTTTCCTTCAGCATTACTTCCTCTTACCATCTTTGTGGAATAAAGAACTGTCAAAAGGCAAGAAACCTGTACATGATTTAGTTCTACAAAAGCAAGGTTTCTTGGATTCTTTCCCTTCTTGCTTGCTGCCTTGCGCTTCTATGGGCAAAAAATTATGATACTTTCCAGAATAATCGTATGAAAGCTCTTCACCTGCACAGATGTCACGGTCAGCAAAAAGTGCTAACTTAGGCACCATTGAATCTATTCGGACAGGGACCATAAAGAGGTTGGGCTCACAGGAGTGGTTCAGGAATCTACCAACATTGCCGATATAAGTGGGATCTGCAAAAGTCTCTATTGTCGTCCCATCATGCAAGTGTTCCCTAATTGCTATAATGTAATTTGAATCACTTGATGTCTGCAACTGAATCCTTTTACGTGCTTCATTAATGTCTAGAATTTCCCCAGCATATTCACAGACAAATCGTCCTTTGGGTATGAATACCATAGTGCGAAGACCCCATCCTTTCTCAGTGGTCTTGAATACTTCAAGCTGGAATTGTAAGCCCAGTTGAACTACTCTATTTTGACACCTCTCTCCACAGTGGCACATAGTGTTGCATTCAAAAACAGGCTTTGAAAATCCCAGTTCATTTCCTTCCGTCTTAATGGATAAGTTGTTATAGTTTTCTCCATAGTGAAGACAAGTACATGTTGGGGCGAGACAGGAAGCAGAATGACAGCTGCATCCAGGGAAGGAGATCTCAGATGGGTCTGGTTTGCCTCCAGGTCCAGGCACATGATCGGGACTATACTGAAAAAGAAAACAGAGGAAATCATCTTGAGGACTGTATATTCATATATGAAGAGGCTGGCATAATATATTGTGTAAAAAGGCAAAAGGATACAAAATAATACAGTTGGAAGAGACCTTGGAGGTCTTCTAGTCCAACCTCTTACTCAAGCAGGAGAACCTATACCATTTCAGACAAGTGTCCAATCTCTTCTTAAAAGTCTCCAGTGATGAAGCAGCCACAACTTCCGAGGGCAAGCCATTCCACTGGTTAATTGTTTTCACCATTAGGAAATTTCTCCCTAGTTTCAGGTTGCTTCTCTCCTTGATCAGTTTCCATTGTTTCTTGTCTTGCTTTCTGGTACTTTAGAAAATAGGCTTCTTCTTTGTGGCAGCTTCTCTAATATTGGAATATTGCTTCCATGTCACCTCTAGTCCTTCTTTTCATTAACGTCTACAAAGATTGTCCCTATTTTTGCAGAAATACCTATCAGCGCGTGCAATGTTTAGAATGAGTGATTATATACGTTTGATTTAAAAAGTGGATAAAATAGAAATGCCTTAAGAGACCATCTATCCCTATAGACCTATCAACAACTGTCTTACTTATATAAAATGCCATGTACTGTATTTTAACAATTTATATGCATTGTTCAAAGTGGGTGAATACACATACACACAATCATATGATTTAAAAAGTGATAAAAAGATTTAATTAGTGGTGAAAGATCTTAAAGAGATCATCTATTTCTAGATAGTTTATCAACATCCCTGTTGTGCTTACATACAATGCTATCTACTTTACTTTGGCAACTTATATGGAGAAATTGAGTACTTGTGTAAAATGATTTTAGTGATATTAATGGTTCAATTGCGCCAGTACTTTCATTCAGACTCTGGGAAATAACTCATGTGAGGCCAAAAAGGGGGTCAGCATATTGTCTTTTTAAAAGTCTATAATTCATGCATTCAATTTCTAGTTAACAAATGAATTATTCCTTGCAATAGTTTTATTTTCTAAATGAAGACGTATGCAAGTAAGACAGAAAAACATGAGGAACAAGAGAGGTTTGGAAAGAAACATTAACAGTATGAACAGTATTTTATTTTTTTAAAAAGAACAAATTATGTCCAGTAACCACAGAAGAAAATGTTCATTTTTTAAAACCAATATCAGTTTGCTACTTAGCAGTACTCTAAAACAAACTACATCATTGATATTTTATCATTTTTCTCCCTTGCTTCCAGCATGATTTCTTCAGAATGTATTTCTTACTATGCAGATGCTTACCCACACGGCTCAATTGAGGCTGCATTCATAATTTAATTCCTCTAAAGTACCTTATTAGCTGAAGCAAGAATAAAATTATCTTGCCAGCCTATCAAATCTAATTTTATCTGATGGGACAAGCCATGATTTCGGACATTTTAGATAACAAACATATCGTTTAATTGCAGAAAGAAGAACTTGGAAAAAGTTGTTATTCTATATATTGAAATGAAACCACAAATGGGGGGGGGGGGTGTAAGACAAAATTACAACTGATTTAATGTACATGAAAACAGTGCTACAAGAATGCACTGCTTTATCAGGCTTCTACTAATTGACCATTTCTTTGTGGAAGGATTCTAAATGATCTACCGTAACTGAAGTGAACATTAAAAGAGCTGCGGTGGTGCAGTGGTTAGAATGCAGTACTGCAGGCTACTTCTGCTGACTGCCGGCTGCTTGCAATTTGGCAGTTCAAATTTCACTAGGCTCAAGATTGACTCAGCCTTCCATCCTTTCAAGGTTGGTAAAATGAGGATCCAGATTGTTGGGGGAAATAGGCTGACTCTGTAAAATGCTTAGAGAGGGCTGTAAAACACTGTGAAGCAGTATATAAGTGCTATTGCTAAAACAATCCTGTGCATTTAGACTGGGTGATATATTGAAAATAATAACCTAGGATATCAAAGAAAGGCAGTTATGTTTGTTATGTAGCGAATCTTAGTTTCCAGAAATGCTGATATCACAGAAATAAAGTTTTTTTTAAAAAATGACCAGGATTTTATCATATGTAAGGATCTATTCATTTGATGAATCCAGCTAGCTTTCAAAAGCAGCTTGGTAAATTCTCTGACACTCAAGCTGTAGTGTCCACTTGGAATGAAAGTTTAATTAGATAGTCCTTTCTCTTATACATCAACCCTAGGGGTTATCTTGATGCACAAATGAGCTCTGGTAGATGAAACATCAGAAAACACACCTGAAGTAGCACTACAGAAAGATAAGAGTCCAACCCAACACATGTAAACATCTGCATAAGGTCTATGTTGTGACAATAAGGGAAGCCTAAATGTTTTTCAGCTTACATAGAAAATGGATCCATGGGCAGGAAGGGGGAGGGGGGGCGGAAGTGCCTTCAAGTCAATGCTGACTCCTGCCTGGCCTAGTTCAGGCAGTTTTCTTGGCAAGAAGTGGTTTGCCATTGCCTGCTTTCAAGGACTAAGAGTAACTGCCCCAAAGTCACTCAATTAGCTTCATGCCTAAAGTATGTTAAAATACTTTGTACAGTATTTATTTCAGTAAATAGAAACTTGCAGTGACCTTAAAAAAAAAAAGCATTTCTTGAAGTAACAGCATACAATACTTTTGCCAGAACAAGAGTGACTTCTAATGGATGTTACAGATTCCTCAGCTTATGCTAACTCGAAGGAAAGCAAAATTGACTTTTTTCACAAAGGGTAGTATAAAGTTTATCATCTGCATTAAAAGTATATATTAAACTAGAGATATAATGAAAGCCATATTTTCAATTTATGCCCTTCATATAACCATTAAAAAAACCCAGTTTGATCTGGTAGTTAAGGCATCAGGCTAGAAACCAGGAGACAATGAGTTCTAGCATGAAATTGGGTGACATAGGTATGAAACTGGTTGGACCAGTCACTAACTCTCAACCCTAATACCTCAACAGGGTTGTTGTGGGAGAAAAATAGGAGATTGCACTATACACTTGGCCTTTAACACTCTACAAAAAAGCAAATTATAGATCTAATCAATAAACTATTTGCAAAGCAGTGCAGGAAAAGCTATTCCTCATTGTCAAAACTGAAGAATGGAATTGAACTGCACCTTTAAGGATTAAAATTGAGGAAATTATTTTTAATGTATACTTTAAAAAAAAGTGTTTTCAAACACTTTAAAAATATTTTAATCCAAGAAAAAAATAACCTACACTGTATAGATACATGTAACTTAATTTATTCTTGACCAATAAACATATGAAATCTACTGATATTAATGGAGTTTGATTCATCTATCAGGATCAAGCTTATGTTGTTTCAGAACCATCTTATCAATTGGTAGTTTTATTACTTTTTTTTGAAGATAGGTTTTTGCCAAGTGCTGGTTTTTCAAACCATATGCATTTCTAATGTGAAAACCAGTTAACTCACTGCAGTATATAATCAGGACAAACTCTTAATTTCTTCGATGTCTTTGTCTTCCGACATCCTTTTTCTTTCTGTTCGTCATACGGATCATTATTTGAAAGTTAGTGATCACTAAAGATGTGAAAGAATATATATTCTCCACACACACACACACACACACACACACACACACACGAGTTATGGTTGTCCCAAAAGTGCTTTTTCAAGAAGCAAGTGATCTTTGTTTTTCCTTGAAGACGTCTCGCTTCTCATCCAAGAAGCTATAAAGTATAAATCCTTCCATTCCCCACCATCCAACCAGAGCTGAAGAAGCTTCTAGGATGAGAAGCGAAACGTCTTCAAAGGAAAAACCAGAAAGTCCACTAACCTCTTGAAGAAGAAAAAAAAATCTTTGGGATTTACTCTCGCAGGTGCGTCAAAAGCGCCGTTCACGCAATTCGTTGCATTCTATGGCCCCGCCCCACGAGCACTGAATTCTAGGTTTTGTAGTTTTCGGAAGTTTAAGGCTTCCGCTGCAGATAAACAACCGCTCCACAGAAAACTCTAATTCCCAGCGTCCCTTTCGATACAACAGCCGCAGTTTTAAAAAAGCGCTACATTTCCAACGGCGGGTCCGTACAAAACATAACTTCCTATCGGTCCCTGCCCGCAGGCTGCTGCTCAGTCCCTTCTTCTCCTTCTCCTCTCTCACCTGGAAAGTCGGGAGTTCCTCCAGCCGCGGCCACACGGACACCGGCAGAGGCTCCAGCCCGCAACTCACATCCATAATCCGTCTCCAATTACGGGGAAAACAACAGTCCCTTCGGCCTTCCTTTGCCCCGCCCTTTCTGCCGGGATTGGCTGCCCTGCCGAGTTTCGTTTTACCAACACCGAGCTTCAGCCAATGGCAAAAGGGAAGAATTTTGGGACCGTCCCCCGGTCTCTTCAGGACCAATTGAATAGAGTAGTGCAGAGTACGTTGCTTCAGGGTTTCGTCTGACACTTTACCTCCCTTCCTTTTGCTGGAAAAGATTAATGTGGAAGAAGACGGGGTTTTAGCTAGAAATACTTGGTTTTCCTCACCCTCAATATCGGGTTGTCTTCTGCGGAGCAAACTGTCGCTCTTATCGTGGGAAAAGGAGGAAAATACCCTAAAGGGTCCAACCCCACTCACATCTTAATTTCTACGCATTTTTCAGGCATTGCTACACTTGTCCATTTCAATAATTATTTGAATATTGATTTTAAAAAGCTTGATGGGGAAATACACGTCGACTAGAAACGCGATCGGTCGTTGTTAGATTTTGTTTGCATGTGTTAGAGATAAGTGAAACTGCTTCAGATTTGTTGTTCCGAAATGCCATGCTACTTTTTAAAACAAATATACGACTCATGTTGCACTAACTCATAATTTGATTTTGGCCTAGTACAGCTATCAAAGCTTTCATTATCTCTTTGCTGCCTTCTAGCTTTTTCGAAGTAGCCCTGGTTTTGTGTAGTGGGTGAACAAGGCTATTGTAGCTTGTAAAAAGTTTGCCTTCATTTCTGTAAAAAGTTTTTAAACTGGGGTTAAGGGTGTAGTACTATAGACAACTACATTGGTAAAAACACGAATAGAATAGAATCAGAAACCTTATTGTCACTTTGAATGTACACTAATTGGTATACATTAAAATGACATTTCATGAATTATCTCTCGTGGGGGCTAATGTGCTGGGCTACAATTTAAACCAGTGTTACCACACAATATGCTATGTAATTTACATGTACTTGTATAGTGTATTGTACTTGTACTGAGTAAACTACAGTTAAACAATATATGAGTGATTTCACACACACACCCCTCCCGCCCTTTCTGGGAACTTCCCATCTCTTCTGGGTGGCATTGCACTACCCCAAAAAGAGCCTACCCATTTTAGTCTTTGACTCACAAGCACAAAATTTCTGTTGCTAAGAAAGACAATTGTTAAGTGACTTTTGCTCCATTTTAGGACCTTTTGCCACAATTGTTAAGTGAATCACTGGAATTATGAAGTTAGTAACATGGTTGTTAAGTGAATGTGGCTTCCCCATTAACTTTGCTTCTCAGAAGTTTGCAAAAGGTGATCACACGACCCCCAGTACACTGCAACCATCACAAAATACAGACCAGTTGCCAAATTGTGAATTGTGATCATGTGACTTGCTGTAAGTGTAAAAAACAGCCATAAGTCACTTGTTCAATGCAGTTGTAACTTTGAACAATCACTGGTTGTAAGTTGAGTATGCAATTTGGATTTCCTCCTGTTTGAGGAGCAGATTGTAGCTGAGGTCAGGAGGACCTTTGTACAAGTTTGTGTTTTGTGCTAGTGGGGAGGCTCTGCTCATAGTCAATCATGTTTTCATCACCTCCCCAATTACCACACACTTCATGTGGAGCTACCCTTAAAAGAACATTTATAAGCAACTGCTGTTAGAGCATGCAACAGTGTGTGCAATCATGTACACTTCTTGATCAGCAAGTTACACCTTTGTCCTGTAACCTGTACTGGATATAGTATGCTTTTGGTCTTTACAAATCTAAAGATGAAAAGTGAGATTTTCATGTATTTATTAATTAATTACAACACTTTATATAATGCCCAAGAATCAAGGTGGGTTTCTTTTTGTAAACGACAGGAAAAAAAATACAATAACATGGAACATAAAACCTGTTTAATAAGTTTAATAAGCAGTCCTCATACCCGCTTAAAGGAAACAGCCAAGTTTTCATGAAAAGAGCGAGTTTGGTCTAGTGGTTAAGGCACCAGGCTAGAAAGCAGGAAACCGTTTAAGTCCCACCTTAGTCATGAAAGTTGGCTGGGTGACTTTGGGCCAGTTACTCACTCAGCCCAACTCATCTCACAGGGTTATTATTATGAGGAAAACAATAGGAGGAAGGTGTATTGAATATGTTTGCTTGCTTGAGTTATTTCTAAAAGTAATAAAGGCAAGATAATAAATAAATGAATGGACAAATGAATGAATGAGTGAATGAATAAATGAAAAATCAAAAATGGGAAAAAGGGACACAAAAGGTAGAAAGTATCTTTTATTAGATTTTTGGTGTTTCATGTTTCTATTTCAAAAGATTCCTTATCTTGCTACTAAGACAGCTGGAGGAAAATGCTTGGTGTACTTTAAAAATGTAATTCATACTGACCATTAATTTAGTCACAAAGTAAATTGCCACCAATCTATTTGTTATTTTTCGTACTTTTTGCCAAGTATATGTAAACACACAATAGCTGCTCATTTTATGAATGACACATTTTCTGTGAAAGAAACAGCCACTGGCTTCTCAGTGGACCCCCCTGTTATAAGGCCAAGCTCATTATCAGTGGCTGGATTTTTCTTTGATGAGCAGTCAAAGATCATTTTCAAAGCCCTGACAAACAATTGAGGCACCCTATGGTTTACTGAGAGATGTGCAGCCCTAATGAAGTACATTAGAGGTGGAAGAACCATCAAATCTATAAAATGTAACAATGTCAAAAAAACCAAGGTCACCACTGCTTCTCATAACTGAGAAAGAGAGGTAGACATGGTGCTGACTCCTGGAATCCTAATCCAACCCCTTGGATACATTCCAACCTCATTATGTACTGCTGAAATAGTTATATCAATTAGTTAACATGAAAAATTACTTTAATTAACACCTCAAGAAGAATATCTATTGTCAGATTGAAACTAATCTCAATTTTAAATGAAAATGAAATCACCTTGGCTAAATAGATTTAGTTAAACTTCCAAACTTTAGTTAAACTTTGAAGTTTTTGTTAAAGGTAACCAAAAATAGGGTGGATACTTTTTCTTGTGATAAAGACTAATATATCAGGGGTGATATGATAGCAGTGTTCCAATATTTGAGAGGCTATAACAGAGAGGAGGGGGTCAAGTTCAACCTATTTTTCAAAGGCTCTAAAGGCCAGACAAGGAATAATGGATGGAAACTGATCGTGATTCAACCTAGAAATAAGGATAAATTTTCTGCAATGAGAACAATCAACCAGTGGAACAGAAGTTGCCTTCAGAAGTTGTGGGTGCTTCATCACTGGAAGCTTTCAAGAAAAGACTGGACAGCCATCTGTCAGAAATTGTATAGTCTTCTGCTTGAGCAGGGGGTTGGACTAGATGACTTATAAGGCAGGGGTGGGATTCAAAATTTTTAACAACCGGTTCTGTGGGCATGGCTTAGTTGGTGTGCATGGCTTGGTGGTCATGTTATTGGCTGGGCCTGGCCAACTCAATATCACTCACATTGAGGCACGCATCTCCTCGCCTGGCCTCTCATGACCGTGGGGATGCTGCAACAGTCGTAAGTGTGAAAAACGGTCATAAATCACTTTTTTCAGTGCCATCGTAACTTTGAATGGTCACTCCACATAAGCAAAGTACCAGCAAAGGAGGGGGGAAAAAACTCCAGAGACGTTCCTGAGACAGGAAGTCTAGTCCTGCCAAGAATGTAATAAGGGTTAACGGAGAGGCAGTTTCTGTAAGCAACACCAGAATGTTTCCTTCCTGCCTTCCTTACAGGATTAGACCAGTAATTTCTTCTAACAACCGGTTCTCCAAACTGCTTAGAATGTTAACAACCGGTTCTAGCGAACTGGTAGAATCCCACCCTTGTTACAAGATCACTTCCAACTCTGTTATTTTATTCTATTCTATTTACTATCATATAAGCTTTTGTAAGATGACATAATTGTCATGTTGTATGTTATGATTCTTGATTCTTAATGAATGTATCTTTTCTTTATGTATACTGAGTATTCACACTTGGCCAATAAAAGTATTCTATTCTATTCTATTCTATTCTATTCTATTCTATTCTATTCTATTCTATTCTATAATCCCCTTCATCATATCAAGTATGTCCAATGTGGGATATGTTTTAAGTTTTCCACTTGTGGGTCTACCTAGACTTTGTGCTGATATTAACATATGAAATTTATAGGAAAACTTCTAGTTTCTTTCTTTTTTTTTTTTGAAAAAAAGTTTTGATTTTAACAACGAACAAAACACATAAAACATAAAACATAAAAGCATCATCCTCCATAAATTTACAACCGATACACAGAAAAACTTCTAGTTTCTTCAACTCAACCTATTATTCAAAATAAAAGTGCATGCATGGATTTTCTTCTTCTCTGATAAAGTTTACTTTCTCTACAAATAAGAACTGCATCATTCTGGGTAACAAGATATGAATATTAGTTAAAATTGATAGAGACATGTATTGATTCCAAGGGAGCTTCATGAAATATAATACATTAAAACACAATTTTGAAATCCACTTTTTCTGGTATTTTGACAAGCAAATGTAAAATTACTAAAAATTTAGGACAGAAATGCAAAATTAGAAACTATGAAGCTGAAGGAATTTTCAAAGCCTATGAGGCTGCCACTGGGATTTCCAAAAGTTGTTTTCAAATTATAATGTGTAATGTGAAAGAAGAAGAAAATGTTGATGAATGGAAAATAATCACATTAACGATGCATCATTTTAATTATATTTATTTATACATTAAATCTATACATTAAATTAGGTTTTATTCTCATTCTCCCCATAAGTATGGAGTTTATTCCAGAAAAAAAAAATCACAGTCCTGGTTTAGACCATGAAAGTAAACCTAGCCCTGTAACATCTACATCTTTTCTGTTTTCCCTTATCACTTCACAAAATGGTTTTGAAATGAAAGGATTTGCAGAAGACGTTTCTGACACCTTCTGGAGGTGTGAAAGTGTGGTTCTTTGAGGAGATGGCAAATTGACAATTTCACTGGGCAGACCCAAGCAGCAAA